CCAGAGATAAACGCTGTATCCAAACTGCTGACCTCGGCACGTTTAGCAGCGTCATGCCAGACTCGATGAGCCCACATCAGATGATGGAGCGTTTTCAGCTGTTGCTTCTGTAGGTCGTAGACTCTGCTAGGCATTGTTACCTAACAAAAGCTCAGTATAACAATTATTATACATAATAAGTGAAGTTCACGGAAAAGGGGATTGTATCAAAATGTGCGTTCATTGCGCAGTGCGCTGGAAGGCCGAGCGCACCATAACCACCAAGTTTCCCCTAGACTACACCCGGCTAGTTACAGGTGGAGAGTGGAATTGGCGTTTCTCCCGCTTCCTTCCCTCCCCCCCAATGCCTATGTTTTTTGGGTTTTTTTCCCCAAAGCTACATAGGCGAGACAAATAACACACTTAATCTCACGCGCAATTTTCAGGGTACTATATCCCGTCCGCTTTCCAAACTTGCAATCTTCTCACTGCGGAGCTGAAACAGGTCACAAAGCAAATAGCAAACCGTCTGAGGGAGCGAAAATTGCGGACAACTTACGTAGGTCACCGACTGATTCGAAATTTGGAGTGAACACTACTGCCAGGCGAAGAAGATGTGGTGGCTGATGCGCCATTCTGTGACTGATGTCTCTCTTCCTGGATCTGTGAATCCATGTTCATGAGCATTCCGTAAGACTTTATAGCGTTCTGAAAGCAAATAATTAATCAGGCGTTATTAGGAAAAAAAACGTGAACTTAGACAAAATCTCCTCACTTGAGATCTGAAGTTGTACATGTGATACAGTAAACAGGCTTGACAGCGTGAACTGAGATTACGTATTCGAGATAACATATGCATATGCCAAGGAGAACATCCTTCTGATACTGCACAAAAGGCTTGAGTTACCCTTCTGAAACAAAAAAAAATCAAGGCTTGAACAGCATGAAAAAAGCTTCAAAAAACTAAGCAATCCGTAGGGTCTTCATCAAGACTGCACTGACCCTGCGAAAGCCCGGTCTCTGTTCATGGCTTTGACAGTTACCCTTCACCCCAACTGCAACTACCTGCGAAACACTGCAGCTCTCAAAACAAAGGAACGGTTCATATCTCAAAAAACCGCTAGATAAAGGATAGGAGGGAGTACAATAAGTTAAGTGAAGCCGCTGAATTTTAAAAACAACATTACTAAAGCTAAGAATGGAAACGTACTTGATCAGATCATTCGTGTCGCGTACGATTGAGTACTGTTTGTTACAGCGAACCTCTGGCGATTCTTGTGATGTGAAATGTTTTGCCGATAAAATAAAATATACAGTTGCATCGAGGTAGAATATCATTTTAGCGACCTTGTCGCTCTAAAAGTAATGACATGTACAATCATAAACGCTCTCTTTCGTAAACCACCTTCCAAAAGAGGTTGAATAAACTATGCTATTGGGAAAGCTAACCTCAGCGTCACCTTTGCGCTTTCGTGATTTTCCTATTCAGATTTGAGAGAAAATCGTACAAAATTTTTCCAGTGCTGCCCTCTTCCGGCTTCACTGGTCGCGAGGGTTTCGCTGGCATACATTCTGGCGCAGCACACTCGAAACTGCTTCGCGACGGGTTGCTACCGACAACTGACGACGGGCGATGAACTTGAGGATGGTCACCAGAGTCATGAGATTGAGAGCTGGATGCACGCGGCATGCACTGAAAAGATACACGCACTTGAATTGAACCGAGAATGGTTTTAGCAACAAGTGTGATGGCTTACGGGACTGCTTTTAGCGCTGGACTCCTTTTCTCGCCGTAGCGCATCCAAGTCGATCAACATCGATATTATCCTTGTTCTTTCTTTCTTTTTTTATTGTCCGTTACGGCTTTTCCGAATTGTTTATCAGAACCTCTCCTTTCCGATCTTCCTTTCGTAGTCTTCTTTTCGCGTCTCTTCCTGTCAATGGAATTCACCTTCAGAGAGAAAATGCGATATCACAGAATGTTAGTATCTCACCTTCATCCGACCTGTTCTCTTGCCGATCTCGATCAGGTGATTCAATCTAGAGCGATCAAGACCCTTAAGAATGATCTCTCCTCGCAAGCCATCTGCACGCAACGCCTAAAAAATGAGTATGAATACTGCATTCAGATATAATTTTAAAATTATGGGGTATTAGAAGAAGCACATAGGAGCAAAAAAGGTGCGAACGCACTCTCAAGAAGAAGAAAACAAATTTGATACATGAAAAGCAGCAAAAATTCGCTTCCAAGAAGTGCAGTGATGGGAATAAACTACTGCTACGGTCACCAAACGGACTAGTACTTGCCGCACTAGGCAGTCAGCTCAGAAACAAGAAAATAAGAGGAACCCTTGTTTCATTTCACACGACCTAAAGGCATTCCCGCGTAGGAAAATGCTCAATTGTGCGGCTCAAATGACTAATGGACGATAAGGTAAATAATACAAAAGGTGGGGAACAAAAAAGCGCCGAAACCCACCCGAAACGCCCCATATAGAACCCATGCCAAACCGCGCTTGTGTATGCATAAGACGAACAATGAGCGTGGTCGAACGAGGTCTCACGGGGGAATAGCCACCAGTTATGCGTTAGTTAAAACGAGACTGGGCGTTGCCCTGGCCAGTGGGCGGAACCGTGCACTCGTCACGAACGGGTCGCGCTCTCCTCACGTCATTTCGAGCTGCGATAGTTGTACCACGCCCAAAGACGGCGCCCGAATATCGAATGAATGGGGAACGTGCCCTAAAAGCACCAGAAGGGATTGCAGAGGAGAAACTACGTCATTGGCATGCCTTCTCCTTCTTCCTTCCCGTCTTCTTCACAGGATGAGCACGTCAATGACGCCGTTTCTTGGCTCGGCCCACCGGTAATCCACATTCCGAACTGACTTCGAAGGCTTCCAGCCAATTCTCCTGATTCAATAGACGAAAGGTAGCCTTTCCTTATCACTACGAGCGCCTTAGAGAACGTTTTCGAGAACACATTAGCAGGGAGAAAGAGACACAGCTCTAAACATCCAAATCATAAGCAAAATCCTAAAAGGCTCAGAAAAGATGAATACTAACTAAATTCGAAAAACTCACCTGCTCTTCAGATTTATACTCATTTTCTGTAAGTTTCTGCCGCTCGGCATCTTCCACTTTGACTTCTACTTTGACCTTCTCCGGCCGCTCAGGCCGTTCACTTATTTTGTCCCTTCTATCCGAATCCTTGGATCGTTTCTCAGAAGAGGGTCTGTCTCTTTCCCTTTCCTTCTTCTTTCCACGTTCCCGTTCCTTTTCTCGTCGAAGCTTTTCTTCTTCCTTGTCCTTGCGAAGCTTCTCCTCATACTCTCGTTCACGCTTGATCTTCTCTTCTCGTTCCTTCTCCTTTCTTTCTCTGTCTTCACGTTCCTTTTCTTCACGTTCTCTGTCTCGACGCTCCTTTTCTTCTCGTTCCTTCGCCCTTCTTTGTTTCTCCTCTCGTTCTCGTTCTCTTCTTTCATACTCTAAGCGCTCATTTCTCAATCTGTCTCTCTCGCTTCTAGTTGCTCCTTTCTTGACGTCCCGTGTTGTGCTTTCCTTTTCTGCTGCGCTCGAGCCTTTCCTGAAATCAGGCAATAAATATTTGCAAAAAATACGCTGAAGTGAATCTCACATTACTTTTTCCAACTCACCTTCTCTTTAATCTCCATTTCCTTACGTTCTCTTTCGGCCTTTTTATCAAAGGGCCGTTGTTTGATTGGTGAAAGAGGTGGGGACAATCTAAATCAACATTAATCTTGATCATAAGCAATAATGATAGAAAAATCCGAGTTGATGTATCCAATGGAGCAAGGTAAACTATAACTGACTTGGTTTATCAAATTGATGATATTTTGAGCAGAGTGAACGTCGTTTTCATCGCCAGGATCATTCTCTGCCGAATGTACACCCGAATCAGGACTAATACCTTTATCGGGAGGTTCCTGTGATGTAAATAAAAATAGAAAGGTTACCCTTGGCAAAAAGGTGATAGAAGAACCTTTCTTTCAACACCGCTGCCGAACAACGCTCGAATACTATCGGAGTTGGACGAAGGGTTGCGTGTTAGAGCGGCTGGTGCTTGGAGCTCCAGATGTCTTGAAAGAGAACCATAATGAAACACCTCATATGAATAATTAGACAAAGTCATTCTATCAGAGTATGACCGACGATATGTACAATGCCAATCCATCCCTTGCTATCCCATTAAAGCAGCACTTAATGGACTATTCGGTCAGAAACACAATTCAGATCGGACTTCGACAAGCGCATTTTGAAGATTGGCCTTTCTTACTCCACCCCCATCAAAACGAAAGGTTTTCGCCAGACATCGACCAGAAAAAAATTTCACCCGTTATTAATTAAATGGTACTGAAAAATTCAATCAATGCAAGAACGAACAGGCACAAACCTTAGATTCTTCGTTTCGACGCCTTCTTTTGTCTCTGTCTACTTCAGAGTCACTATCCATTGTTCTGTACCTTTTTCCTTTCTTTCCAGAGCTGTCAGTGTCCGGAGCACTATGGGTAGATGAGGATGGAGCAGTATTCATATAGTCCTGAAAAAGAGCTCGAATATTTGTATTTTCAGAGCCATGAATCAAGTAGAGTGAACAAATTTATTTCGCTGATACTTCAAAACTTTAATTTCAAATTTGTCGCGTGCAGAACATATTCGTGCGGTATGCAGGACAAGTCGTACGTTGCGGATACCCAGCTAGAGCTGTATTTGGTCGTAATCACTTCTGAGAAGAATGACTCATGATGAGACTCATGACTCAGGATTCTCATGGAGGAGAATGATTTTGGTAGTTGACTATTGAGTCTTATCTCGCGTGCTCCCGTTTCACGCGCTACTCATCCCTTCTCCGTCCTCCCCCCCCCCTTTGCCTTACCCTCCTCCGTCGTAACACAGAGGCAAATATTGAGGGGAAAGGTAGCACTTTGCAAATTTTTCCCAACATGAAAATACGATTGCCGACCAGTGATCAACTTATATTACCTACTAGCATATCACTACTTCACAGGACTGTATGCGGGAAAAGTTGGTTAACAATTCGATAGTTGTACACTTACAAGTATCATGAAAAGAAAGAATTCGCGACGCGCAACAATCTCTTCAGCACTAGCGCTGACGCGACACTGAAGAATGCCTGTGTACCGTGACAACAAACCACAAGCTCTCCTCGTAAATCTGGATATGTCTACCAGTTAAGAGACACACCATTGCAAATCGTAAATCGGGTAGGGAGCGAATGACTGGCCCGGTAAACTTTTTCTATTGATGATTTTCTCCGTTGCCTCGCCTGATGTTGGTATCGCACGTACTAAAACTGCCCAACGCGGTTATGTCCCTGTCGTATCGTCGATTGAATTATGTTGGGGTCACATTTTGAAAAACTCCATCAGAATTATGTGCCTTATGCTCTGCTTCACTGGGTGTTTAGCGCTAAGCAAGGGCAGAGCGATTCGTACATGTCGCCAGGATCCCAAAAGGCGCGGGAATGCTTAAAGGAACGAGCAAATATGACTCCCTTCTCCTCCCGGTGTGAGTCTCTCAACAATGTGAATAGGCGAGCGTGAAACAGGAAAAATTAGCTATCAAGGAACTATCTCTTGGCCAAATACGACTCTATCCGTCCATCATCGATCAAATTCAGCACATAGCACGTAGTGCTGAATTTGATCGATGGACGGATAGAGTCGTATTTGCCCAAGAGATAGTTCCTTGATAGCTAATTTTTGCTGTTTCACGCTCGCGATAGACTCCCACCGGGAGAAGAAGGAGAGTTCATAGTTTGCTATTCCTTTGGAGCCTCCCCGCCATCTAAATTGGCGGCGCCTCAAATCGCCATTGTTGGATCCCTGACTTCTGGGTTGTCTCTGGGAGTGTCGAAATAGACGATACGCACAGAAAGTTTATCTGGCGAGTAGACCACACACAAAACTAACTCAACCCTACCGCTCACCTCTCTTAAATACGCTCTCAAAAGAGGTGCGCAGTATCACACTTTATCAGAGTTCATTCCTCTATACAACACCTCCCCCAGTAGAAAGACAAGGAAAGATGTGAACAACAATTATTTGTTCTTTTACTAAAACGGGACAGAAGGCATTTGAATTTCGAAGGCTTACACATCAATCGACTATCGCTTTCACAGGTCTTCGTATTCTACTCGCATCATGCGAGGTGGTGTGCTGTGACAGCACGGTAGAGCGGTGTTGACGTCCAAGTCACTGGCAGTCTCGTCGTTGCTTCTTAGCCAATTGTTGTCCAATTCTAACACGTCGAGCAGGGTTTTCAAGGAATTGTCTTCACCACTACAGCGCTTGTCCCTGTATTGCTATTGTCAGTAATTGATTTGGGTTTTGCATCAGCCTTCCTTCCACGACGACCTCATAGCTAACTTTCCCAAGTCGTTTTGCGACAACTCCTTGCTTCCATGAGAAGTGTGGGGCTTTCCACACCTGAACATATACGTCGCCTCCCTTTTTGAATTCCTTCAAAATGGCGCAGCTCCTTCTATTGTGCTTTCCTTCATCTTCCAGCGATTTTCTTCGACGTACGACCATGCTGATGGTTTCTGTTCCTCAAGACATGCTCACGGTGTGGGGTGGTTAGTTGTGCCTGCAACATAACATTGAACTTTGTCTTCTGCTATGGCTTTTCTCTTCCCCTTTGAGTTTTCTAGATCTCTCTTCAACGTATTGACTTCTTCCTTGGTGCAGCGTCCTACACCTTCTTCGAAAACATCCGGGAATGTTTTCTTCAACTCTTCTTCACGTCTGGGGTTACAGTTGGCCTTTCACTTCAGCAGCCATCATTTCTATGTGGTACATCAAATTCTCATGCTCGAATCCATTCGAGTCCCAAGAGTGAGTTGTACGGCGTCACATAGGCGTCTCCTTCAGTAGTGACACCTTTCATGGTAATCTTGCATTTAAGCTTTCCATATATCTTCATGGTAATCTCCACTTGCGTTTTTCACGACTGTATTGGTCTTTTCAATGCTGGGGAGCCCATCTTCTTCCAAATTCTCGTTCAGTAACGTGATGTCTGATCCAGTATCGAGAAGAAATTTGACTGAGTAGTTGTTCACTACAGCATCGATGTACACACGGGAAGAGTTTGCCTGAACTGCTGCATTTGCAATCTTGACGATTCGTACTTATTTTCTCGCCGACTCTGGCTGTTTGTGTTCCTGAGAATTCTGCTTTAGTATGTGAGTGTTCCGACGTGCGCTGTCTGTGCGACTCGCAGTCTTCTTTTGTCGTAAAGTGTCACAAAACTTTTCCTTGTGACCGACCTTCCTGCACTTCTTGCAGAACCACGGTTTTGCCTGGCATCCACTAGCACGATGTTTGCCTTCGCAGTTCCAACATTCTATTTCCTTTCGCTTCTGGACGGACGTGGCTTCCACTAGTTTCATAGTTCCGGCTAAACTTCACTGTCTCTCTAAAACTTAAGAAGTTTTCGCACTCCTGATGCAGTTGTTGCAGTGAGACTGTTTTGCCTGCTTTATAGTCTCTATCCAGTATCGCGATCAGCCTTTGCCTGATCTCTGCCTCCTGCTGTGACTTCAGCCCGAAAATCCACAGCAAGCATTTGATGCCGTCTAACTCGTGAATCTTTGCTCTCTCGCAAAATTCATTCACTCGACCGGTATACGTAAGGAAGTCTTCTGAAGGGCTCTTCTCTAGTTTCAGACATTGATATCTCGTGGTAAACAATGACGACTTGAAATCAAACAACTGCTTGCAGTATTGTCCAACCGTCTCAATGAACCCAATTTCTGTCACACCTCTTGGCAGCACGTGCCTGTGGTACTTCTCGAAAGAAAGAGGATCCAATTTTTCGCAGAGCGGTCTGACCTTGGTTCTTTCAGAAAGCTGCTTTGCATCTTCGAAGAAAACATCCTTGTATCTTGAAAACCATTTTGAGAAGATCATGTCGGCATCCGGGTCGGTAAACACGAACTTTTCAATGCGCTTTGCCTCAACGCCGCATCAAGTTTGAGGTAGCCATGTGCTCCGTCGCATTGCAATCTACCTGTCCGCGTTCTGGAATGCGATCTAACAGTTTCGCGATGACATTCTTCTGTTCATCCATCATTTCTCTGAACATAGCTATGATGGTGGTCGTATCCATTTTTCAAGTGTCGATGTGGTTCCCTAGATCCTGGTTGTCCGGTAAGCTGCGTAACTTCTGAACCGATAGTGCGACCTGAGGACGCACGATACTGGTTATACGAAGCTGACCACGTGCCTTACGTTCCAAACGTGCAGATCAGCAAGAAAAGTTGACTTCTATCACGGCAATAGAAAAGACTTATCTGCCGGTCCGGTTCTTGCCGAAGAGACTAGATATCGGATATATATATCTTGATGAACAGTATATAACGGCCTAGGAATCCTGCACACTCGAATAACAGGGAATACTGCACGAAGAGTCCTTGATTCTTCTTCGTAGCACTGTAGAAATACTGGGTTTTCCTGATGTGACCTGAGAATCCTTGTCTTGCGATGTGATCCTGGTTCTGGACTTCTTCTACTACTTCTTCTTCTTTTGAGGAATCCTGGTTTCGTTTCTCGAGTGCTGGATCGCTGATCGCCACTGTTGGATCCCTGACTTCTGTGTTGTCTCTGGGAGTGTCGAAATAGACGATACGCACAGAAAGTTTATCTGGCGAGTATACCACACACAAAACTAACTCAACCCTACCGCTCACCTCTCTTAAATACGCTCTCAAAAGAGGTGCGCAGTATCACACTTTATCAGAGTTCATTCCTCTATACAACACTATGTTACCGCTAATTTTGGATCACAGTCGTTGTTCGGTGACGACCGGCAATACATCACCTTTTTGAGAAGAACTGGATACTTTTTTGAGAACATAAGTCAGTGAGATGGAAGGTAGGATGAGGAACGGGATCGTACCAGAGGAGAAAACCCAGTGGGGAGAGATCGTGTTTCGAAAAAATTTTCTCCACAACGACAGGACATACTCCGCTCACAATGTCTTTGGCGTGACGGGAAGAAAAGAGTTAACAACTTTTCAGGAAATACGTACATGTAAACCTGAACTGACTGTCGTGAAATGAAACGTAAAGCGACGTCGTAGCATGACCTTACCCATCACTTATAGAACTGCTGACCTTTGTTGGACCAGCGCTAATAACTAATCGTTACACACTACCATATAATATGGTTATCAGCTCCGAAGAAAATTATGCAAATATCCAGGCAAAAATACAAACATACAAACTCACACTCTTATGATAACAGATTACTTAACAGGAAGTAAAAAAACACAATAGAACTCAAGCACAGTTTTCTATAAGAAACATAATGGAATTCAAGCAGAATTTTCTACTCACCCGATTACATGAAAACGGTAGCCCTTGAAGTGGTTGGATAGGGGACGTGACAAGATTTTGCATACTCTGAAATGATACAGTAAGCTATGTAACAATGGTAGTAAAAAGACTGCAATTAATCAAGGAGCACTGAACGGACGAAATCAGCAACACTGCTAAAGAACATAATCAACAACGTAAGTGAAGATCTAAGGTTGACCCTCAGAAAGTCACACCATGAACCGAGGATATCGCCAGAGCCGCTTTAAATGAATAATAGGCGCCATGGTACGTAAATGGTAACTCTAATTGAATACTGATGAGCATTTGTGTGATTCCGAGAAGTTATTCAAGTTATTTCGTGATACCGTCCCTTATAACGATGTCACGACACTCAATACCGGCGATAAAGAGGGCGTGGCCGCGTACTTCAGTTGAACATGGTGTAAGACGTCCGTTTGAGCGAATGTCAATACGGTGCGCAATCATGCTCTTCCCATCCGCAGGACATAAACTGAACCATCACAACCATGAATTGCGTTGATTTTGCATGTGTAATGGGCGACAGGATACTTTTTGTGAACTGTTATGAACAATCTTGATTAATAGAGCTCTGCTGAAAACGATCATGCGACCGATACGTTTCACAATTATTCACAGGAGATGTAAAGAACACCGTCTTTCGAGACTCGAAAGAACCCTAGAAATCAATAAATCGTCAAAAACTGTTAGCTGAAAATGGATCAACTAGCTCGATGTATCACAGCGCAACATCCGACATCATCACAAAATCTTAATTTCTTACAGAACATTGGCGGTGGCAGAAGCAATAGCGAAAGAGGACTGTTCGTGCGAGAAAATTCGGAAAACGAATGAATGAGAGACAAAAACTTTAATTAAAATTGCTCACCAGCAAAAGTTGTTGAGTTGACTGCTGAGGAGTCGTCGAAGAGCTAGCCGATGATGGAGTGGCTGCCATAGCGGACCGTGTGGACAAAGGCAACGGTGTTGTTGGGATCTAGAAGTGAAACTAGGAATTTAGCTCTGACGAATCAAAACACTTGAAAACCACAAATATGCTGATTTATGTGGACAAATGTGAGACCCTAAGCAGGACTCAAACCCGCACTTCAGAGGAGTAAACGGCACTGGTGGTTTTATGGATAGCGCACTTGCCCAGTAAGCGTGAAGTGGGGGTTCTAGTCCCGCCAGGGGTCCGACTTGGACACAGCTCACTCTCTTGTTATAACTTTTGAAGCGCGAATCGCAGCGTTAAACAGCAGATATCATCAGAGAAACATCTTGAAACCCATTCTTAATTTGTTTTTACTTGCCAATACGAATGAGAGACTCATTCCCTCCTCACATTGGAATCTTCATCGGTTTTCAAACTCGAACACGCTGACAAAATATGTACAAGCCGAGGAAAAATCAACCACGTTCCTTAGTGGAATAGTGCTGGTCCGCAAGGCGGTGGGGATGTCTTTTGTGAACTTCTATCAAAAATCGGATAATTTGGGGAGTCCTATAAACTAACAGCATGCGAGCGGTCAAAACCTGTAAACTCCTGTCAAGACACGAACACATGTTTCCTTTTAACACCATTACTTCAACTGTTTCAAGTGATCAGTGATATTCAGAGTGGAAAGGTAAAAATAAATGACTGTAAGCTAGGGAAGGAGATTTTTCGCTTAAGCTTAGAGCAAGGAGCACAGGGGTAGGTGAACTAAATCGCTCGCATAAAAAGTAGTTGTTGCATTCCACTGTGAGTCAAGAAGCGGTTCGTCATTCGGAAGTCGCAGTTGATCTTTCGCACCCTTCCCGAGCTCATTTTGCTTATTTCCAAAAATTCTGGGATCATATACTACACATCTCCTGTGGCGTGATCTACATTACCTCCCAGGGGATCCGTGGAAATGGTCATCGATCGCTATCAGGGATCCAAACTAGTGGAAACTTGCCATGAATGAAGTACAGCATACGACTCCTCGTCTCACAAAAAACTAATAGGATGAATGGCGCCTGGCGCCATCATTTTGCCACCTACGTGTCTAAACATGTCAGACAAACAGTATTACAGGTTAGAAAACTCGTCCAAAAGTTTGTACTTATGCATTTTCTTATGTGATTATTGGGAGATGACCTGGTTTGATGAGCATCAATGCCAACATTCACGGCTTCAAGCTGTCGATTGAGAAAACTTCATCGTTGAGTAAATACAAAAGTAAAGTAAGCTCCAAGGGGGAATAAACAATTCGGTGCTAACGTAGTTGGGAGGGGCCACGCGGCTCGCGGCGAGTGATGACTCATCGGCTCTTCACTCATTGACATACTTGGAGCGTTAATCTAGCAGCAAAATTAGAATAAAACAAACAAGATTCACCGGAAACTTGCTGAGAAATCCCACAGAAGCTGAAAACAACAAATTTGATCTTTTATAGTCAAGAATCAACAAAAAGGCAACAATCGTTTGTATTTTAGGCAAAATCTTCCAGCCTACAACTGTTTCTTCGCACTTTTCAGCCTTAACTGTTTTAGCTTTTGAATATAGCTAGGACGGTGTTATATCCATGTCCTAAACATGAAATTACTTCTTTTTTGCCGAGGAGAAAGCAGAAGAGTCGATGAGTCATCACTCGCCGCGAGCCGCGTGGCCCCTCCCAACTACGTTAGCACCAACAATTCTCCCTAACAACCTCTTCAGCAAAAACAACACGAAACCCGCAAAATTTACAATAACGAGGTGAGAAGTTGGATACTGTTCCCGTTTACTGATTCGGACGATTTATGTAACTAGGTGGACGCCTACCTTTACCTGTCATAACACGTCAACGGCGATGAGAACGCGTTGAACGACCGTCTCAACAAGTTCGCTGCCATTACATAGCTTTACAGGAGTTTACAGGAGTTTACAAAACTGTCGAGAGGAACGACGATAGGCGATGAGTTCAGATGATAGGTTACACCCCCACGCAAATTGAGGCCGTTATTGCTCTATAACCTTTCATACGTACTGTATAACAACTTCAGGGGGCACATCCGCGGCGGAGGGGTATTGGTCTAGTGGCATTCGCCCTCTGCTTCGAGTGCTGGGCTTTAGAACCCGGATGAGCGTGGCCACACTGGGCGAGGCCTCGACATGGACGAGTATAGCTGAGCTACAGCATTTCTTCCTGAGCTTGGAGATGATAGTTTTTCTCTTGTTCAAGAGCTATCGAAAGTGCTTCTACCTGAACTTACAATTTCCAAAACGAAGAAATAAATTAGATTGGAAATTTATGCTTCTTACTAAGGTAGACATTAGGCAGAGGCAAAGGAATGACTATTAGGTTTATATATATGTATGACCATGCGATGAAACATTCAACACCGATACTTTGAAGGCAATGGGAGCATTTAACTAGGAAGCGGCGCTGTCTAACAGCCATGGCAGGACAAAGTTGGACAACCCGCTTCTGTTTACAAGTCTCAATTTGGGCCTGTCAACTCCTGCAAGCTCATGAAACAACTCAGGAAACGAACTTCATCATGATATTACAGGAGTTGATAGGTGGTCTATACAAACTGGCTGGCATTCCGAGGCTTCACAAGATTCACAGGCCTCCACCTGATGGCTCAAAATGTCGATGAGAAGTAAGTGAGCGTGAAATGCCTCCCCTCCCTACCAAACCGAACTGCGGTTAACTTCAGGATGTAAAATGAGGTGAAACACGTCGTTCAACAAGCAAAATCGTCCAAGCCTACGGCCTGCACTGATTTCGTTCCCACTTATCATCTAATCTCATCGCCTATCGTCGTTCTATCGATGAAACGCATGATATCTACTGCAACGTGCACACAACGATCGCCGCATGGCCGCCGCACTGAATGACGCGCGCTGCAGATGTTCACGCTTGAGAACTGAATAGTTCTACTTACCTGTACAACTCCATGACGCATAATACCGCTTGATCCGGCACTGGTTGTCCCAGCAACATACTCACAAAACTGGTCAAAAGGTCCGAACACTTCTGAACAAGAAAAGGATAAGAAATCTCATGTGTACCATGAAAAAAAGAAGGGCTTTTCTCGAGCCAAAAGCAGTGGTTCGGAAAGGTTAGAAAGTTGCATTATTTGATAGAAATCACGCTTAAAAATCAGAGAACCTTGTGGAACACAACGAGAAATACAGCTGAAATGAACATTAACTCACCATGGAGCTGTTTCCGCAATTGTTGCTGTTCGTGCCGTCTTTTCGAGATTTCCGGGTCTTCGGCCATTTGTAGAGGAAACGAGGATACTTCAATTAGTAGATATGTGGATAATAGAAGTGCTGGGAGCGGGTAGCGCAAAAGATAGAGTTTGACAGAGCGAGAGAGCGAGAGAGAGAGGACGACCGTGAACGGAGCGAACGCGACCGAGCCACCTCTGCGTCTCTGACACGCACGCTACGAACCCGAGGGGGTCAGAGGCAGACGACGAGGGTCCGTGTGTGTGTCACGGAATCTGGCACGACCCCACCTGGGCGCATTCGACCACCTATAGACCACCCAGACACACTGCACTCGACCCATTACGCATTTGAACTGATCTCAGTCTCTTCTTGGCTGGGGATCAAGCTTATGCTCAACTTCGAACTCACCTTTTTCTTGTTGTTCTTTCTTGTAGATGTACCTGTTTTGTTGCTTGAGTTCTCTCGTTGTGAGTTGTCATTTATGCGAATTAAGTCGTAAACATGAAAGCCTTTTGAAAAGCATCTTAAGCCGGATAATAGCACGGAAAGGTCAGCCATTGAAGGTTTGATGTGTTTCCATGACATCCAAGATATGCAATAATGCATTTCGTTTATCACTCACTAGTCCCGTTTCAGAAGTGCTTAATCAGCCATGAACTGTGGGGACGCATAGAAGTTGGGGTCTTTAGACTCTGCGATCTGAGCGCGATAATGATTACGGTGAGTGCTGATTGATCAAGCCTCCTTCTTCTTGGCGCTGTTCTAGTATTGTGGGTGGTGGATACCGATTGCGAGCCGTGATATGGGGACTCCCCGTGAGCCAATGAGGAGAAGCGTCTATGTGAGTGAACCAGTTTGTTCCAGAAAGGATTCTCGCATTACGGTGATCTTGTTTTTCCGCAAAAAGCCGTTTGAGTGTTAATGTGACCCGTCTCAGGACATCTGTCAACCGCGAAACATCCTTCATTCAAATTCTCGGTCGGAATACGCAATGAAAAAATATCTCTGGACAATCGACAATCGGCAGTGAGAGCACATCCGACAGAAGTTCTGTATCCCTGTGATTCTTTCGCCAACCAGGGCTTTAGCTGTGCTCATACTTTGCGTCGGCATTTTGAGCGTGTGGCGGGTAGTTCTGAACTATTCGCGGTCAGTCTCTGAAAACGCTGCCGTACGCGCAAAACGCTAAGTATGAACGCAGTCATAGGCTCGGTGGAGGCTGTGTTTCTATTGCGGGACCATTCTTAGGCGACTCTGGTCGTCTGCGCTGTAAACATAACCCTAGCTCAGAGTAAGGGACACAAAGGCTAGATTGAGTGACTTCCCCGCTAGTCGTTACTGATTCCTGCAACGTATTCGTCACACTCAGTGGCAGTAATGAAGCAGTCGTGTTGAAATTACTGTTCCTACGGAGTTAGTTTTGTGAGCTTGTTTTATTTTTTCAAAGCAAATAATGCCTTGGAGCTAGGCAAGCCGATCAATAGTGCGGAATTTCCAATGAATCCTGTACAAAACGCAACATTTATGGTTTCACGCAGGCGTTATTTATTGATTCTTGTTTCGCTTCAGCAAGCTTGGATTCCTGACTTATATCTAAAACCAGGTTTGATGTTGGGAACGCGCCTTTACTAAAAATTCTGTGTCCTTGTTTTTTTTCAAGTTTTAATTGATTACTGGTGATTACACAGTGAACAGGTGTGGTTGAGATATCATTAAGGGTTGACAATGTTGTGTTACCACAGGTGCACCCATCGTTATTTAGTCCAACTCTATGAGATTACTATTGAGGGAAACTCTTCTTCATAGCCATAGGGGACGTCGTACGTAGAGGATTCCCTGCGAGGCAGGTAGGATTTGGTCGCTAGAGAAGTTTACTTCCCTTTGAGAGAAATGTTCTGAGTCCATTTCTCTGAGAGAGAAATGTTCTGCTGCTGACGTTTCTCTTCTTTCCGTATTTCGCTGAATTTTCCTCAACTACAGGACGTGCCAGCGAACTGTGCGCCATGATAAGGCTGCGTTCATAGTTTCCGTCTCGGGAGAATAGAGAATCGGGAATCGATGTTCCGGGAGAGCTCACGTTCTTCCAGAACATCGTGTGTAGAGCGTTAACACCGAGCGCGGCGAGATGGGCGTTAACGTCAGATTCAACCTAATATTTCTGTTATGTTGGCAGTCACAATCATTCCATGATTTCCAGATGGGAGAGTTTCATAGTGTCTTCGCCGTCTTTTGTGGTATTATCTAGTAGAACAAGCACATCTGATCTTTTTAAGAGGTCCAGTCAAGGAAGTCGAGGAAATGAACTCCGGAGGCATTAGAGGTTGTGATAGTTGAGGCCTAGCTGTCTCTAACTGCAGTCGGTGATCTGATAGGGAGTTTGGGTAGTGTGATCGTACATCAAAAATTACGTTTAACGAACATTACTAACCTAGCAGAAGAGATAATCCCTGCCATTTGGCGATGATAAGGACCCTGTGAGTGATGCGAGCTGACGTGAAATGGTTGAACGTTGTGATAAGAGCGAAAACACTGCCTTGTGAGGGATCTCCCCGGACAGGGTCCCATTTATGTTCCTTCCCTATGTCCATGTTCAACCTCACATTTACGAGTTTCGTGGTTGGTAAAATAAGAAAGGTGTGTAGGAAAAAAGGGCGAAACAAACCTTCTGCGTTTCGGGGAATATAGTTATTTATTTACCCTCTTCTTTTTTTTCTTTTCTATTTGTGTGGCGTGTAATATTTCAAAGTGTGCGTGCGGAATCGAGTCAGGTTTTTTCAAACCCCGAATTAAATTGTGTCGGAGGGTGCTTTTATCACTACCTTCGACACATCAGGTGATCTGCTGGGAAACTCAGACCCCTCTTTGGCCCCTAGAATTTGATAACTCTATAAAATCACATAGAAGTGGCTCATAAAGATTACCAGCCCACAATTATCTTTTTGTTTGACAGCGTCATTGAAACTTCACTTCTCTAAAGTGCATAATCGATGAGCTCGAATTCCAAATCACGTTAGGCCAGTGTTTTTGGTCCTCATGTGTTGTCGAAAAGTAGGAGGTTATTCCTTGTTCAGCACTTTCGACCAGATGTTCTTCCAACAACTTTGGATCTTCTGGACTCCCTCTTCTCTTTACAGTTCCAGTTGGCCACTCGTCTGAAAAATGCCTTTCAAAAAATTTTCATATTTCAATTAGTCCACAAGTTCCCAGTTAAAATCGCCTTAAAGGTTCCATGTTCTGCCAATGGTTGGCGATTCGCTTATCAATTAATGTGTTTTGCCTTGTTCTAGCGCCGGATCCTTTCATCTATTGTTCTGTTATCTTTTGCCAGCATTCACCTGTTTCGATATTTTGGAGCATTTTATTGGAAAAATCCTACATTTTCAGATGCGGTGGTGAGGGCGAGGACACAAATCGACATGAAGTGGTTACGGTACGGCAGACAGCCGCTCTTAGTGTTTATAATCCTCCTTGTACAAAGTACTATGGCATCAAAAACTGGAAAAGCGACAAGGAGTGAGTCACTAATCGCAGCATCGATTTCTATGAGACCCATAGGCGACTTTATGCACGAGTCCCTAAACTCTCAATATTCTGGAGTAGAAATTAACAGAGATAGTTCTAATGGGTGCTGAGGGGACATCAGGAATGTGCACATGATGTTCCCGAAGCAGTATATATCACGAAAACGCCGTTTACTATGATCCCCACCTCTCCGGAACTGGGGTTTTGCTACAACTGCACCATAGATCCGATCAGCCCTGAGATGGAAAGCTTCCACGGGATCATCGGCGAGCATTAGCGAAATCGACTACCACTCAAACGTGCTCGGGACCCCAAAACTGGAAAAGCAGCAATGGGCAAGATTCCCAAAGTACAAAGTCGATTCCCCCCCCCCCCCCAAGTGGCGACCATAATAAGAGCCTCCAGTATAGATTGCAAAGCATGAAATCCACCTATAGTACTGCCCCGAAGCCTCATAGTGATATGAATGTTCAGCAACCATATGATACTGTGTGGTTTGTCCCAGGATCTCTGAGATGAGTTTTTGGAGCAAATCTGAAGTTTCGTATTGTCGGTAATTTTTCAGAAACACCATTCTGAAGTGAATAAATTTTAATGATGTGAATGTAGCTAAAAATCTACATATTCGAATAAGGGTTCTCTGTGGGAAAGTACTGAATTCGTAACTTTGTTATCGACGAATAATCAATAATTGTAGATGTCGTGGTAACAGCTGAGGAAGAGAAAGTTCGTGATGCCGCAGGCTATCAAGCCATTGCAGAAATACATCGAGAGATGGACGATGATCATTCGGGGTCGATCGATAGGAAAGAGACTACGGGTGTGAGTTGTATTCATTCATAAAATTCTTTTACTGTCCGTTCTATGGATCTTAGAAGTGAATACCTAGGTTTGGAGTCTAAATACCATAAATTTACCGTTTACGGATAAGCCGTGATTTGGACTGATACAGTACTCGGGGTTAGAACGAGCGTTTTTATTTCTCTCGGACCGTCATTTTTGGAGACTTTGTTGACCGGTATATTTATCAATTTAGATACTTTGCAAGGACCACAACCCAAATAACGCGCCTATGCGTACACTTTTGCCAAGCCATTTGCATTTGCTTGAAAATAAGTGACTGATTATAGTAATCCTTTAAGATCCATTGAATGATCCTTTAGAATAGGTGAAGCTGTGAGTTACACAAATAGGCTCCTAAGGTATTTCTTGCGCAGGAACTTGAATGTCTGGACATTTTTGAGCCTATTTGTGTTATCTACAGTATTCACATACTAATGAGGCTCCGGAACAATTATTGTAAAATAGTTCTTAAACTCTGAAGGTGGTGTTCTTTTACACGGATTAGTTGTCTAGCATCTATTCTTAGTTGATGTTTGCATTAGGTTTCCATCTTCATCCAAATCCTGGATTAAAATGCGTGCCAGTGTCTATAGTCTGTTTGCATACCTGCCCCCAACAGTGTTGAGTAAACTTGGTCGCAGTGTGGTTTTGTAACTGCATAAATCATAGGCCTATTTTTCGACGACGAACTTGTCATGTCTTGCTGAATGGCGGGTTGGAACGATTCCATATGAAGTGAAAATTCGGCAATCACCCTTGAATAAACATAACTTCATGACGCTATGGGGAACCTTCTGTGCAAATTTCACAATAGGCGTCGGCGCACCATAAAAATTGATTATGTTTGATAAGTGGGGATTTTGGGAGAAACCTGGTTCCATCGCGATAGTAGTTTTTCCAGCACTAGCACGAGAATCTGTTACTATTCCGAAGAAAAGGCATTATAGGACACTGTCAAAAATGCAGTGCGGCGTGCCAAAAGTGCCAAATGCCCCGCTCAAGTCGAACAGCATCAGTAGTACACCTATTATAAATTTTTAAATGAGAGTTTTTAGTTCATGACGGAAGATATGCACATGCGCAGTTCCGATCGAGTTCGACGTGAACATGCCTTCCATGGTGATGATGATGCCATAACGGTCGATGATCTCTGGGAAGCGTGGTTCGAAAGCGACGAGCGGGCGTGGAACAATGAGCAGGTTTGTTGTTTTTTTTTGTGGAGCACAATCGATCACTGGTTGTTATTACTGGTATAACCATTGCCATTGCCATTTGTATGGTCACACTTGGCCTACTGAAGAAAAAAAACTGGTGACTGTTGGATCCTCAAGCAGAATTCACAATTATTATAGAAGCGGCGATTTGAAAGAATTAGTGACAGACCAATAGATTGGAATCGACTGATTCCGCTTTCCTAGGCCATTACGCGTTGTCCAAGACCACTGGTAGGCGGAGTCGGTCAGTGACCATTTAGTTCTTTGTCGCCGACTCTTCGGGATCACGCATTCTTCGTATTCGCAAAGCGTGAATGCGGTCTAAGTGGGTGCAAAGTACGAAACCTTAAACTGAATGAACCGTATGAAAACATATTGTTGATAGTCTGTAGTTGGTTCGCTACCTTAATCCGCTGTCACATAAGGCCGTTGTCACTGGTGCTCGTCAGTTCTTCCATATGTGACATCAGATTCTTCATGCTTGTAGTGGAACAGTGGTCCCAAGCGTTCGGTAAACTTTTGAGCAAGGTTATAACATGATCAGGGCACGTCCTGCCGTTGAGGAAGAACTTTGCAAAATACGGCTCCCTTGAAAATTTCATCTACAACGACAATCCCCTTAAAGACAGGTTCGTGATCGAGTGGTCCGCAAAATGACTACATGCATTTAGCATCCAGGTCCACGCCTGCATCCGGCGATTCGTACAGTGAGGCTGTGTGACTGTGAGGGACTGGGTTTGTTCAGGGTGCTCTTCGATTTTTTTTGCTTCCTTCGCTGCTGGGTAGTCACTTGTTGGCTAGTGTTCATATCCGGACACCCATCACACGTAATACTTGGTCAAGGGAATTGTCTCTAAATTTTCCCAAGTTCCCACAACTTTTTCGGAGTTTGTCCAAAAAATCCCCTAAGCGACCAGATGCGACCCCTGCTGGAGATCCCCAACGTACGGCGTACCTGAGCATGATTATGGAGAACTCTGTTTTTGGGGCGTGATTACTTCCATTTTTTGCTCAGTTTTTCCCGAGAATTTCCGTCTACCTTCTGTATGGTCGAGTGAATAGTGCTCGTTCTTCACATGACCGTCTCATTCAGAGCCGAAGAATCTAGAAAAGCTGACAGCTGCTCAACCGTGCGGCCCAACCCTTTAGATATGAATACATCCTAGTTGGTTGTGATATAGCTGTCGTAGCTAATTCAACGTAGGCAGTACTCTCCAAATCTTCAGCAACATATATTTGAAGTTCCTTTTAGTGCTATGACTGCTGTTTAACGTTGCTGTTCAAGCTTTGAAAGTTCTAAGAGTGCTGAGTTACGGGCAAAAGCCAGACTCATGCGGGGCTGGAACCTGCATTTCCCGCTGATGGGGCGAGTGTGCTACAATGTGGGTCGAGTCTCGCCGGGGTCTGACTTTTGTCCGGAACTCAGCATTCTTGTGATATCTCTAACAACACTTTCGTATTTATAACCGAGCGTTATTCCCGCCAAGATAAGCCACAGATGATAGCATCGAAAGAGCAATGAATATATTGATAGGTATGTTCAGTTTCCCAAGAGACTATCCTTGGAAGCTTTTTCCGCTAGACTCCGTTGTTGCTTCCAGTTATTAATTGTAACATAGCTAGCGATAAGAAGCAATAAGTGGATTCTGTATTTGTAACTTGCAAAAAAATCTATGATACCTTCTCTCCTTATTTCTAGTTTTGTAGGTTAGACCTATTTCAGTACCTGCACGTTCTTTCATCTTTCCCTAATTCACATTCTTTTTGTTACCCAGTTTTTAACGTTGGATGTGGGTGAAAGGCATCGTTTTCTAAGCACAGGTCAGGCAGAGAAAGTTGGGAGGGGAAGTTTTCCCATTCTTCCTTATTACAGACTCGCCGTGCTAGAGTCTTTTATATTTTTTGAAAATCTGTCATCACACATATGATTCTTGAGTTACGAATACTCGATTTCGTGCATTTCGACTTGGAGGGGGCGGACATTTTGTCAATTTCGCTACTTCTCATCGTCGTGTCGAAATCTGTGAAACCCTGCGAAGCAATGAAGTGATACCCGTCACTTGGTAGAGACCACTTCAACTGTCGAAATGAAAAGCTCTTGTAAAGTAATGAATCCGAGGGAAGTAGCGAAAGTGCAAGATTCTCCCCCCCCTCCCCTCCCCTCCCCACCCTTAAGCCGAACTGCGCAATTAACTTTATTGATCTCTAAGTGTCATGTAACACGACGGATTCTGAAACCGTTAGACCTCAATATTGCTGTGGTTTTTTATCAATACTTGCCGTTCATTACAGCGCTGCATCCCTCAACCATTTTGGAATAGAAATTGCCAAGGAATTAGTAAAAGTAACATATTACTTCAGGTTCTCAACTGGATTGTGAATGAAGTTAACCTTCCTATGTATGCTGACCGAATAGTGGAGCTCAAGATAGACGGGACTGTGTTGCCAAGGTGAACATTCCATTCTTTTTTCCTCTTGTTCATGGCACGAAACAATCAAAGCGCTCCGGCACTTTATAGCGCGCCTTGGCGCGCTGATAGCGATCTGCACAATGTTTGTTCATGAAGCCTAGAAAAAAAAAGTGAACTGCACACCTTCAGAATTAGAATCAATAAGCTCAGTGTTTCGGTAGGAGCTAACATGTGAATGCATTTTTGTTTTGGCTGTAGGACCTACCAAACAGGAGCGAAAACACTTCAAAACTACTAGTTTTAGAAAAAAAGCAAGCTGGAAATGCTTGCACGTTATGAACTGCTGTGTAAAATTGTGAAATAGATGGACTAGTCAATTTTCAGGCTGGCTGTTCATAATTCGACGTATATGACAAGCTTTCTTGGAATTAAGTCATCAGTACATCGTCAAAAGCTGAGGCTGAACGCGCTGGACGTAGTTTTATTTGGCCATCGTGATCCTTCGACCAAGGGCAAAGACATTGCTCTTGCACTATTGGTAACGCTTACCAAAATTGCCCGTTTTTTTGCATCAAAGTAGGACTTTTCAGTTACTTCTTCTCACATCGGTTCTGATTCTTTACGTCAAACAACGAAGACGAGCCCGCCTACAGGTCACTGAGCTGTCACAGAAACTCAAAGAATTGAAATCCATGGAGAACGCATTTGACCACGAGCAGCAGAAGTGGAATGAAGAGCGGAGTAGAAGGTAACACATATTTTTCAAGAGCTGCTGAGGATGGCGATCGGCCTTGGTTTAGATCAACGACCGATGGAAGTGTGAGTCAAGTGGAAGTGGATAACCTGCGGGTTCAATTAGAAGCGGCTGAACGCAGGTGAGGATTTTCTGAAGTTGAATGGTGTGTTGTGTTCTTTGTGGCTGAGAAAATGAAAGAAGAAGCTTGGCAGAAAAAAAAGCTCCTCTTCCCTCTAATAGTTATTGATTTTTCTGAGGGAAAAGCGCGTGTATTTTGTTTTTCTCGGTTCA